GCTTCATCACTCTTCAGGGAACTTAATTAGCGACCAAACAGTCAGAAACCGCTTGCATGAAGTGAACCTTCATTCCCGAAGACCGCTACGGGTACCACCTATAGCAATGCACAATCGTAGGATTCGATATCAATGGGCTCTTGAACACAGAAATTGGGCAGAAGAACAATGGCGTTTCGTGTGCTTTTCTGATGAGTCTCGTTTTGGTATGAGACCGGATACAAGACGTATACGACACTGGAGAACCCCTGGACGCCAACAGCGATTAAAATCCTGCCAGGAAGTCCATCCTTATAGTGGTGGAACCATCATGGTATGGGCGGGTATTTGGATCGGCGGAAGAACTGAGTTGATTTGGATCAGAGGCAACCTCAACGCTCAAATTTATGCTGAGACGATTGTATCAGACGTCATCGTTCCTCTACAAGTGCAAATCGGTCCCTTATTTCAGTTAATGCATGATAATGCACGACCGCACACCGCAAGAGTTGTAAGACAGACTCTCGCCGCAGCTAACATCAATGTCCTGCCCTGGCCTGCTCAGTCGCCAGACTTGAACCCGATTGAGCATGCATGGGATATGCTACAGAGAAGAGCTCTGCCGAATATGGAGGGTATCCAGTCGCAAGAAGACCTTTTTTTGTTGTTGCAACGAACATGGGCGGCCATTCCACAGCGTGATTTGGATGAACTCATTTTGAGTATGCCAAACCGATGTTCTTGTGTTGTTAGTGTTCGCGGTAGAAATACGGATTAATAATTGTTTAAGTTACCCAATAAAATTTTAGAGAAAACTGTTATTTCAGTCTTTTTTTCGAACTTTTGTGTTAGTGGTTCAAATGTCAAAAATCCCTTTATTAGGAAAATGGCAAATTTCTTTATTAATGCAAAGGTGACTTGGTTTATCGTTACTGTGACAAACGAAAACACTTTATTTGATGAATCCTTAAAGAAAATTTTAATTAATATCAATCAGGAGAAAAGTTATTGCAAAAATATATGTTGATCCCTAGACACTTTTGATGTGTGTATAAACATATATTTTTAATCATTTCATATACATTTATTATAACTAATCGACGAAATATTTTACATTAAACTTTTTACAATAGTCGATTTCAGATGTGCATAAATATATCATTAGGAATGTTGATAAATTATGTAATTATTATTATCAGACTATTATCATTTTATTAAATACTAGCTTTTGCCCGCGACTTCGTCCACGTTATCGTCGTTTTTCGTAAAAAAGTAGCATATGTCCTTCCTCAGGGTTCCGTGGTTTTGATGTGACAAACAGATTAACTTTCGTATTTTAGTAGGGAAATATAATACTGTTAAAAATATCGCAATAAGGAACAGCAGAATATTATTATTATCACTGTGCCCCGAGACCATCAGCGTGTAACTCCTTGTATGTTATTATGTTAATGTATTGGTAATATTGTTTAGATCGCTTTCACATGAGTCTTAAGTACATATAGAATGAAAATACTTCAGCGCAAAGCTTCCGGGTAGACAACGTTGAAATTTGACCCGTCCGGAACGTGAACATAAAAAATTCTAGGATTGCTAACCCGGGAAAGACCTACATAACTGATCATGTGAAAAACAACTGACACCGAGATCTACTCCAACAACACGAAAGGCCTGCCCTTGAGCCTTATTATTGTCATTGCATAACACACCGATACTGGGAATTGCGTTCTTTTAAATTGGAATGGAAAATTATTTGGTATTATGGGAATTCTGGAAATAAAGATGGTTTCTCCTGCACCGCAACCTATTAAAATTTGAGCCTTGATTACATTTTGTTGCAACTGGGTTACTTTAAGCCGAGTTCCATTGCAAATTTGTGGTGGTCTTAAATTTCGGAGCAGAATAATCGGAATGCCAATTTTCAAACAAATTTCATGAGAAGGAAGTACGGGCATATTTAAAGAATTTAAAAATTCTATCGGGTAATTAGTGGCTTCTTGTTCATCGGCCATTCTATTTATTGAACTATAAACTTTGCTTTCCCCCTGGATATTCGACAGTATTTTATTATTAATCTCAGATGCCTGGTCATTGGGAGGAGTTAAAATGGACCTTTCGCATAGCCAAGAATTGTTCTTATTTAATATATTTGTTACGTCACCGTAAACTGACGATGTAAGATGTTGTTGGGATTGCACTATACAACATAACTCAGGCGTCAGAATAAGTTTTCCTTGGTGTAGCAGTGGATAGGTATCTTTGGTGAAGGTATTTTCTTTAATAATATATCAGAAAATTCACGATCATCCGGGTTATCTACAGTTCTCACTCGCATGTTTATAGTCAAATGCACCGATTGTATATCACGCCACAAATAAGAGCTTTTCAGGCAAGCCCTAACCTCAGCAGCTCGGGTTCCCCGTGGTATTACCGTTAAGGTTTGTCGGAAATCACCACAAAATAAAACTGTGATACCGCCCATGGGTCGATCATTTTGTCTTATATCTCTTAAAGTTCTGTCTACCGCTTCTACTCCTTTTCGATGGGCCATCGTACATTCATCCTATATGATTAAATTACACTTTGAACGAATATTTAAACACTACCAAAACAACTAATACGTGGTCCTAACTTTAGCTACCTTACACATAAAATCTAAGTGACTATTTGAACTAAAATATTCTTATGGAATTATAACCAGAAATATATACAACTCACAACAAAAAAGAAATGAAAATAAAGCTGAAACGCCTGTGCAATACTATCTACCTATACCTCCTTCACTTAAAAATAAATACTTATAACTACTTTAATTAATAAAAGTACCTACGCTTAATAATTTTTAATTTGAACGAATATTTAAACACTACCAAAACAACTAATACCTGTTTTACAAAATAACAACAAAAGATATTCAAATAAACTATTTAAAGACTAAAAGTCGCGCTGATAAGCACGGTTTCGGTCTCCCAAGCGGGGGAGCAGATGAGAAATCCTCATGGATACCCAAAGCCGGCTGCAAGGTTATGTCAGACTCGTACTGACTAAAAAATACCCGTAGGGGCTGCCTCTGGCCGGTAAGGCCTCTAAGGCTTCATCGGAAGCGATCGTCCCCCAGGGGGGGAGCGACGCAGAAAACAGATTTAGACAGCTCGCTCTCGGACCTTTGATACCCTACCGCTGCCGCGACCCGTGTCGAGCGCGGCAACCGTTACACAAAAATAATCCTTATAGCATGATTCAGTATTCACGTGCGACGGCGCGATGGCTTATTTCATGTATAAGTTTGGTGTTTCTATACCGAGTATTATAAACGTAAGAGTAAACAAATATGATCAGAATGCTCCGAACTGCTAAGCTATCGGGAGTTACACGTGTTATTGTGAGTCAACCATAAGAGATAGACATATGCTGTTGCGGGATATTTTGTAGACAATTTTATGTAGAATATTTCCGTCATACATGATTTCTATGTAACTTTAACCATTAAGGCTGCACACGCGACGGAAGCTTAAAAAATAGAGTAACTTCTCCCGTTTTTCCAATATTTCCCTTCACTACTCTGCTCCTATTGATTGTAGCGTGATGAAAAGTATACTATAACCTGCCCAGGAGTATGAAGAATAATTGTACCAAGTTTCGTTAAAATCTCTCGAGTAGTTTTTGTTTCTATAAGGAACAAACACACAGACAGACAGACAGACAGACAAAAATTTTACTGATTGTATTTTTGGCATCATTATCGATCACTAATCATCCCCTGATAGTTATTTTGAAAATATATTTCATGTACAGAATTGACCTCTCTACAGATTTATTATAAGTATAGATTAATTAAATCAACATTGGTGTCGATTCTGGCGTGATTCTCTAAACTTAAAACTAAATTTAACATCAGTCTCTCCTTTTCATTCTGTATAGAGAATGACAAGGATGCACTGTTGTCAAATTTAAGTTTAGCTTTAAAGAACTATGCCAGAATCGGCATCAATGTCTGCATTATTAATTACAGTGACAAGTGGTTTATGGTTATTAATGTCAATCCGTCATAGGCTTGCTGAAAATATATCGATGTATCGATATATCGATATTTTTAGCCGATATATTTTGATTCGATATATCGATACATCGATACAAAATAACCAATATCGAAATTCGTATCAAAAACGATATATTTTTTTAATTATTAGCGGCATATCACGATCTAACTAAATTCGTATCTGGAAAAATCGTAACTGGATCTCAGATTAATGATATTCAACATATCTATGATCTGTGCTGTATTTAGTATTGTCTATTATTTGTAAATCTGTTTCGCTGGTGAAATGGTTGTGCTGATTTCCATTATATTCTGTGAAGTGTGTGATTGTCTAGTCTTGTTAACGAAAGAGACCCTGCAATCATTTACCTGAGAGGCCCTGCAATCATTTTCATCATTCGAAAATAGGGTCTATTTTTAGGGAGATAATTTTCGTTCCATTATTATTCCGCGTGTCATATTTCGTGAGCTACTGTAAGATATTTTTGGGAAAATTGATCCGATATATCGATATATCGATGTTTTTTTCGCGATATATCGAAGCCGATATTGATATTTTTTAAAATATCGATATATCGATATTTTTTTCAACTTTCGACATCACTAATCGACGCGACATAGGATGCGCACCAGAAACGTAACGAAGTCATTCATCGATAGATTTTACTCCTCACGTTTTTCTCATACCGGGCCCCTTATATATGCAAATCGATTCTTAAGGAGTAAACTCCAAAAATGTATCGACCCCAGTGCTTCCGTCAGGAATGGTTCAACACTTTTTATGCATTCTATATTCTATAAATTTAAATCATTCATAATATTTAATGTTAGTTTGTTATATGTAAGGAACTCCAATGTACTCTCAGAGGTGGGCGATAATAGTTGCGACACAGTTTTTATAACTAATGCAATTATTATCGTACACATTTATTGTATTCACTATTTTTGCTCCAATAAAATAATATATTTCATTTCATTTCATCATTCTCTTTTCAGATTCACAACCCGCCAACCCGAGATCAGAACACGGAAGCGTACAACACCACCTCGCGTTTCTTTCGAAGAAGATTGTGATTACATAGCTTATTACTGTTTGAAGGCATATGAGTACGTTACTTCACTATAAATTACGAATGAACTACAAAAGTTGTACCCTTAGCCTTAGTACGAACCATTATCGAATTCGAATAGTTTGCGAATGCGAAATGTCAATGTCAAATTTTGTATGGAAACTTGAACAGCAGCGGCACAAAGTACGTAACGAGAACTAAAAATTAGTACACGTTTGACAATGAAATTTTGGACTCGCAAACGTAACGAATTCGATATTGTTTCGTGCTAAGATACCTAGGATACTAGGCTTGTTGAAAATATATCGATATATCGATATTTTTTGTTCGATATATCGATATTTTTTGCCGATATATTTTGATTCGATATATCGATACAAAATAACCAATATCGAAATTTGTATCAAAAACGATATTTTTTTAATTATTAGCGGCATATCACGAAAAATCGTAACTGGATCTCAGATTAATGATATTCAACATATCTATGATCTGTCCTGTATTTAGTATTGTCTATTATTTGTAAATCTGTTTCGCTGGTGAATTGGTTGTGCTGATTTCCATTATATTCTGTGAAGTGTGTGACTGTCTAGTCTTGTTTACGATAGAGACCCTGCAATCATTTACCTGAGAGACCCTGCAATCATTTTCATCATTCGAAAATAGGGTCTATTTTTAGGGAGATAATTTTCGTTCCATCATTATTCCGCGTGTCATATTTCGTGAGATACTGTACGATATTTTTGGGAAAATTGGTCCGATATATCGATTTTTTTTTCGCGATGTATCTCGATGCTAAAGCTCGATATATCGATATTTTTTTCAACTTTCGACATCCCTATAGGATACAACTTTTTCGTAGCTCTAATAAATACCGACTGTACTGTACCCTTAGTACAAGTTTTAGCTCACGATAACTATTATAGTTTTCGTAATTGTAAATTACGTTTCTATGTCCATTTTGGTGAAAAATAGCCAATATACTTATTTAAGAAAACACAAATTATTTAATGATAGAATTTAAACACTGTTTATTTGTATTGAAACGAAAACAATAAAATCAGTAACTGCTCACGAAAACTATCATAGTTTTCGTAATGAGGGCTACCGTTTTCTGCCTCACCAGATGGCGCCACTGTTGAGTGAGGTCCTAAATTGTAACATTTAAAGTTTATTAATACGCACATGAAATCAAAGGTTACATTTAGATCGTATTTTAACACAAAAGAACCATATCCTAAACATAACCACCTCTTTAGTGTTTAAAGCTAGGAGAGGAAATGATTGTTATGACGAAGTAAATTGTGCTCTCTCTGAAGTCCTTCACTGGTTTACGGTAAATAATTTAAAACTAAACTCTAGTAAAACAAAATGTGTTAAGTTTACTTTACCTAATGTGAGGCAGGTTAATACTAGTTTAAAAATAAATGACCAGCCTGTAGAGTTAGTGGATTCTATAAAGTTTCTGGGTATTACTTTAGACTCGCATTTGCAATGGGATCCTCATATTGATGCCTTATCAAGTAGACTGAGCTCTGCGGCTTTTGCTGTTAAAAAAATAAGACTTCTAACTGATGTGGAAACGGCAAGATTGGTTTACTTTGGTTACTTTCATAGCGTTATGTCATATGGCCTTTTGTTGTGGGGCTCAGCTGCTAATATAGAAAATATTTTCGTACTGCAAAAGAGAGCTGTTCGCGCCATATATAATTTAAAGGCAAGAGAATCTCTTAGAGAAAAATTTAAAGAAATTAATATTTTAACACTGGCATCGCAATACATTTATGAAAATTTAGTATATGTAAGAAAAAACTATGACGCATTTTCAAAAAAAAGTCAAACCCATAACTTTAACACGAGATATAATAACAAACTTGCCGTTCCATGTTTCAGACTCCAAAAATCAAGAGGTTCATTTCTGGGATGTAGTATTGCATTGTTTAACAAAGTTCCCCAAGATCTGATTGAGCTTCCACTAACCAAATTTAAATCTCAGATTAAGAATACTCTTATGAATAAGGGCTATTATAAAGTTAATGATTATCTAAATGATCGAAATGCATGGACATAGTGTTTCTTGTAATTTGTTATTTGATGGGTATGAGTCAGTTTTTGAAACAGTAATATGGTACCTATCTAATGCCGCTTCCTATATACTAAATATAAAATTTATTGTAACTATATATCTATATCCTTAATAATGTAATGGAAGGTGACTTCAGATGTATCTCTGAAATCATTTTTCAACTTGACGACTCTGTATATATCAATACAGGGAGAAAAAAGCAGCCCTTGCTGAGTTTCTTGCCGGTTCTTCTCAGTACAAGGTCTCCCGCCGTAGTTTTGCGAACCGATGGCGTAGCTTCTTGACCTTCACAAGTGCTTGTAACAGCCTAGACTGAATAAATGACTTTTCATTTCATTCATTTCATTTCATAATAGGCCATGCCACAGTGACGCCCAGTTCCGTTTTATTGCGAAAAAATGGGAACATAATCATTTTTCTAAGCTCAAATTTTTAATAACTGACATTCATTGCCTCATAACTCATATTTGCCATAATTAAGCCGAATTGTTACCAATTAGTCAACCAACAAGCAATAACATTTGACATTTCGGAGACCTCACGCTACACTAGCGCCTCTAGCGGCGGATTCATACGCGATAGCCCTCATTGTAAAACTCGTACTGAGGGTACTGTTAATTGATTGCCTCGAATGACTCAGTATTTCTATTGTGTGATAAATTAAGTATGTATTCCGCTAACTCGTTTGTCATGAACAGAGAATATGAAATCTCAAAAATCGTCAAACTGTTTTAGGGAATTTTAAGGCAACGCTGCCGTCCTCAAGCTAAAACGCGGCTAAATGACAAAACCCACTTTTGAGATATGGCCAAAAGATAACGTGTAAACTTTAAATTATTGGTATTTTGTAACCATTCATCACAATGACGTATTTTTAGACTTAAGTATAAAAGACTAGCAAACCAGTGAACCAAATGTTCACCAAAACCTGATTAAAAAAAATGTATTTAATTAGTTGAGAACTTCGGAGATTTTGTGTGGTTTCGTTTGAAATTCGTGATTTCTCGAAAACCGGAAGTGCTACGTTACTCAAATCCGGTTTGTAGTCTTATCAGACTATTCTTAACTTATAACTTAAATATTCTCTTTATCTATCTCTTACGGTTTGGCCGCTGAAACAGCACCACAGACGGATGGACGGACTTGTCTAATAGATAAGAGATACGAATACTTGTTATAGACAGATCGATAGAGAATCAAAAACTGTATAAGATGCAATTAAAGACTGAAAAATGAACCATATGCCACTTAACCGCACTTTAGTTTGAGAACGGCAGAATGAGCCCGCTATCGCGTATGAATTCGCCGCTAGAGGCGCTTGTGTAGCGTGAGGTCAACGAAATAAATAAATAAATAATGAATAAGTAAATAAATATTTCCAACACTCACACCAATTAGCCTAGCCCCAAAGTAAGCACTGTAAGGCTTGTGTTATGGGATGCTAGGGTAACGGATAGAATACATATACAGTACATATATAAGTATATTTATATAGAAATACATATTAAACATCCATGATTGGAGTACAAATGCTCGTATTCATCACACAAACATCTGCCCCCACCGGGATTCGAACCCGGGACCTGTCGAGTTGGCGACACCATGAAACCCGGCGTATAAACCACTCGGCCACGGAGGTCGTCAAATAGTTATATAGTTATTGCTTGTGGGTTGACTACGCGGGTTTATTTCTTATAAAGAAAGAAAGAAAGAAATTGTTTTATTCAGTGACACAAATTACATGAAAACAATATACCTTATACATAAATACACTAAATTAGGTCTAAACCTTTGCGTCACTAAAAATGCCACTCAGAATGTGTCGGATGTCATAGAATGCCCTACGCTGGTCTCCCGTGGTTACCTTGAAAAGTAGGGACGAGAGTACGAATAGCCACTTACACGGTTCCCAACTTAGGGGTTTGGCCCCCAGATTTAGGGGCTAGATGTGTTAAAACGGACTTTTTAGGGGCTGGAATTTTTTGGGGGTTCTTTTAGGGGCTTTTCACAAAACTTGCAATTAAATCGAAAAACAAAGCGTGTGTTTTCTTTTAGTTTTGTGCGTAGAATGGAATGCACCGCGATATGTAACGACTGAACTGACTGTGTGGCGGTTTATTTCCTAATGCTGTCTGGATTAAATTTCTTTGCATATCACCAATGGTTAAATAATAAAACAAAACATAACAATCATGTTCGTTCTTTCATTAGTTCACGTCATACTCACGGCTCATCATTCATTTTTGTCATTCATTCAATAATTCACTGTAACTAAATAAGAAACGTTTTAATTTATGAGCAACGAAAGAATTTAGGTAAAAAGTAGGTACATATAAAATTCTATATTTAGGGGATTTTAGGGGAATTTGAAATATACTTAGGGCAAATTTTTGGTAAGGGTTGGTAACACTGGCCACTTAGGTAGAAACTTATGAAAATTATGTCATAACTCCAATTAATTATGGCAAATATGCGTTATGTGTCAATGAATGTCAGTGATATAAAAGCAGCGCTAATAAAAAATATTATGTCCGTAATTTTTTCCCCAAAAAAAATCGGAACTGCGCAACTTTGTGGCATGGCCGATTACGTTAACCATACGGTTCATCATCATCATCATCATCAGCCTATTAATGTCCTCACTGCTGGGGCACAGGCCTTCCCAATGGATGGAATAGGGAGATTGAGAATGACCCACCACGCGGGCTAACGACTGCAGATGCAGCCGGGACCAACGGCTTAACGTGCCTTCCGAAGCACGGAGGAACTCGACATAGAATATTTTTGGTCACCCATCCAATGACCGACTACTGCGAAAGTTGCTTAGTAATCAAGTAGGATTTACTTAGATATTATATAGATGTCTCATTTTAATGGCGCGACTAAACTTGGCGGTTAATGGAATACTTTTCGGGTAGATTTCCTTTTGTTTACCCGACACCGGCTTCCAGCCCTTCCAGTGTAAATATTGCTTCGGGTGCCCGAATTCGAGTCATGTCTTGCGTGCACCCGAAATCAGAAATCAGAAATCAATATATCTTTATTCAAATTGGATGTATAGTACAACACTTTTGAATCGTCCAAACATTTTTTTCCCTACCACTCGTTATTGGACATATTTTTTAACTGCGGAGAAAAACGAGCGAAAAAAACTCCACAACATTAAAAGCATAATGTAACAACATTTACAAATCATTATGTTGTTACAACGTCAATACAATCATGATTTATTTAATATAGAAAACCTGTTGGAATGATTGGAACAGTTCAAACCCAAGCATTTTTGTCTGTAATATAATCAGACACTTTGTAATAAGCTTTTTTAACAAGTGCTTTTTTTATACTATCTTTGAATTTATTTATGCTTAACTCTTGCATATTGCGAATGTGGACTAACGATCAAATGCAATTGCGGCATAAATGAGATAAAGCAAAATCATTGAATCTCTATCCATTACGATGCGATTCAAAACTTTCGTCGGTTGTAAAGGCGCTTTAGGGTGAAGCCAAACGAGCGTAATTTTGTGAGTTGTGAGTCGCTTATTTTCGGTCACTTATTTTACGTTCAACTGAATTTCTGTTGAGCTGCCATACGAACGTAATTTATTCAGTTACTATTGAGCGTTAGTACGGGGTGTTCGTGTCGTCGAGTGCAATGGATCTATTAAAAAAATTGTGTATTTACGAAGCATATTCAGAAGATGAGGCCAGAAAAAGAAACTGGGTAAACCCACTGAATAGTCAGAGGCTGATATGTGGACAGTTCCCTACTTTATATGAACGTTTATGTGCAAATCCAGATCTGTTTGAAAAGTACTATCATATGCCATTACGTGTTTTTCAAGAATTATTACACCACGCAACTTGTAACAAACTGTTGCTTCCCCACTCCCCTTCCTTGCCCTACCCTCACTCCGACCGAAATTCGGACGAGCTTATGCGCATTGAGTCGGCAGACAACTCATTTTGCGTTGTCGTGTGGCACCAACTGCCTTTTTGTATGAAACCGAATGCAGCAGAATTTCTGCGACCGAAATTCTGCGACTCACCACTCACAAAATTACGCTCGTTTGGCCTCACCCTTAAGCGCAGGTTTCGGTTCAGCAAAACTTAAATTCGTTTACTGCGCGCCGGGACTTGCGCTAACTTTGCAGCCGCCATAAAGTTTCAATCGAATCAATGTATCCGATACGATTGAACGTCTGAGTGACACAGGTAACACATAAAACTTATGAATAAACGATGTGTAAGCTTGTTTTTCGTTATGTAGTTGCTCCATCATATTTTTTGTTTCTTAGTGTCACCGCACACGGGCTACCGACCACAACCACAAAACGCCGCCACAGGCATATTTCTTGTAGTTTTCATACATTTTATATGGACTCGCCACACACGGTACGCCGGTGGCCGCCACACGCTACAAATCGTCGTTGCTCGCTTCTTGTGGCCCGCACCGGCCACTTAATGCGCCGATACAAAACGCCGCCACACGTCACTCGCGCGATCCATTTAACTGCTAGATGTTTAAATCTAAAGAAAAGTTTACAAGAAAAAAAAATATCCACGCGGACCAGGCAACAGACGGGACTCGAACCCGCACCCTTCACTATCCGGGCGAATGCACTGACCATTATGCTACTGCGGCCCTGACATTCGCCCGGATAGCGAAAGGTTCGAGTCCCGTCTGCTGCTGCCTGGGCCGCGTGACTTTTTTTCTAGTAGACTTTTCTTTAGATTAGAACAAGTTTTATTTGTTAGTAAAATCTTAATTCAGACGATGCATCCTGAAAAGGATGAGAAACGTCAATAAATAAATAAATCGTGTTGAACACCTTCTAAAGGCCAAAGGGGAAGATTTTCCTCCGAGCTTGTTGCAAATATATCGATGTATCGATATATCGATATATCGATATTTTTGCCGATATATTTTGATTCGATATATCGATACATCGATACAAAATAACCAATATCGAAATTCGTATCAACAACGATATTTTTTTAATTATTATCGGCATATCACGATCTAACTAAATTCGTCTCTGGAAAAATTGTAACTGGATCTCAGATTAATGATATTCAACATATCTATGATCTGTGCTGTATTTAGTATTGTCTATGTCGTCATTCGAAAATAGGGTCTATTTTTAGGGAGATAATTTTCGTTCCATTATTATTCCGCGTGTCATATTTCGTGAGCTACTGTACGATATTTTTGGGAAAATCGAAGCCGATATTGATATTTTTTAAAAGATCGATGTATCGATATATCGATATTTTTGAAGTTATACTTCTTTAGGCGCGTTATGAAAAATGATGAGAGTGAAATTTTAAGATGCGCGCGCATCACTGTAACACAAAATTTTACTTCTCTTAGGGATAAATTTAAAGAAATAGGTATAATGACTGTTGCCTCTCAATACATTTACAATTGTATATTGTTTGTGCGTCAGAACATAAATTTATATACGAGGCGCGATGATGTACATAATTTCAATACCAGAAATAAAGATAAACTCAAATTGCCACCATTGAGACTCCAAAAGGTTCTTGGTTCATTTGTGGGTCAAGGTATATGTTACTATAATAAAATACCAAAAGTAATAATTAATTTACCTTTTAATAAGTTTAAAGTGTGTATAAAAACATGTCTCCTTAAGAAAGGTTACTATACTGTAAAAGATTTCATAAATGATAAGTCACCTTGGGCTTAACATAATAGACTGTCTTTTTACTTTGCTAATTTGGTTGAAAATTGTTTAATCGCCACTTCTAAATTTAAAAATAGTACCTAGTTATACTTAACTTTTGTTAATTAATAATATTAATGTGATGGAAGTTGACATCAACACATGTATTCAATTTTTGATGTCATCTGTCAATTGACGACACTGTGTGAAACAAAACAGGGAGAAAAAAATAGCCCTTGCTGAGTTTCTTGCCGGTTCTTCTCAGTACAAGGTCTCCCGCCGTAGATTTATGAACCGATGGCGTAGCGTTTGACTTTCACAAGAGCTTGTAACAGCCTAGACTGAATAAATGAGTTTGAATTGAATTTGAATTTGAATAACAGCATGAAGTTGGTCGCTTTAGCGACCAACTTCATGCGTTACTTTTGTGTTTACCGCACATTAAGAAAATCTACCAACAAAATAGAAATAGAATCTCTAATTAGTGGGTGCTAACGACTGCATTGTGAAGGCCTATCAAAAGTATTTATTAATCTGGAACAACGGAACCAAAGCGCGATTCAGGAGACTACAGCGCCATCTCTTGACCATTGGTGTAGTAGAACCAAAAACCACATCTTTATTTTTTGTAATAAAGTAACAGTTATAGGTATTCATATTTATAATATTTATCCACATGTTTCTAGTTTGTATATTCGGAATACGTGTTTGAATTTCATACAAGTGCAAATCACATACATATGTTCTAATAAATTATATTCAGTAGCGATTTTAATTGAATATTCTGATTATTTATTTATTTTTTCAAATTAAAACTGAACTTTATTGACTGTGTCCTTTTCCAGACTTTTTATTAATTTATTGTAATTAATTATTTGCATGCAATTAAAAACTAATTTTAAACGATGCCAAAGAAGGATAACTTCTCGCGCGCCTACATAAGTACACGCACCCATTTTTTTCAACTTTCGACATCCCTACTGGATGATGGTAGCTCGGGGGCCGCGGCCCGACTGATGTTGGTCGGGCATCGTATATATGGAGTGTTGGGCTCCGAATTTCTCTTGCGCGATGTAGGCTTCCATACGTTGTGAACGCAGCGTCGGTAGCGCCATCTCTTGAGGAGGCGAGTGACTATTTGCCTCCATGTTCATTTTATGTGGGGCATGTAGATGTCGCCGTCACAACCGTGCCGGCCGTTAAGTTTTTATAGTAATTTTTCGTGTCTTACAGCACAGGGAAAGTCTGCGGGCGGACCATGTTTAACTTGTACACCACATTCGCCAATTATTGCTTGATGGACTTCGTTAATTGCATGGAAAGGTATGAAGGTAAGGAAATTTCACAATAAACAAAAATATACTTTTACGATTGTAATCGTTTTCGAAATCTCATGAAATATGCTTAGCTAATACAACGGCAATACAGTCAGTAACCGCCGCACGCAGATGCGTAAATTAAATTCAATTATTGTCAAGGCAACGCGACAACATGAACTTTAATCAAACTTAAAAATAATAATTTGACGTCTCCGAGTGCGACCTTTACTTATAGTGTAATTATTTCTGTATCCAGTGTGGCAAATTGTTCACATGGGAGAGTGCTTCGAACTGCAGATATTGTCAGAATATTTACGTAAGTAGCACATATTTCCCTCACACCTTTTTTTCATCGTTATCAAATTAAATATAATATTATTTTGATTACATTTCCTATGAACAAATTCACTCTGTACATTTCATTGCACGGCCGGCGCCGGTGTAGCGTGTCCATTGTAGCTTAGTCACAGTAGCGACGTGCCACGCCGCACAATAAAAAGTAACGCCGCCAGCAGAAGCGTATTTTCACGGATGCCAAATTAACTCTGTACATCTAATTGCACGCCTGCGCGCCGGTGTAGCGTGTCCATCGTAGCTTAGTCACAGTAGCGACGTGCTACGCCGCACAATAAAAATTAACGCCGCTAGCAGAAGCGTATTTTCACGGATGCCAAATTCACTCTGTACGTTTCATTGCACGGCCGGCGCCGGTGTAGCATATCCATCGTAGCTTAGTCACAGTAGCGACGTGCTACGCCGCACAATAAAAAGTAACGCCGCCAGCAGAAGCGTATTTTCACGGATGCCAAATTCACTCTGTACATTTAATTGCACGGCCGGCGCCGGTGTAGCGTGTCCATTGTAGCTTAGTCACAGTAGCGACGTGCTACGCTGCTCAATAAAAACTAACGCTGCCAGCAGAAGTGAAAGTTTTTAAATATCTCTCAAAAAGTGAAAAACTGCACACCACGTTCCGTCTCTGTATAAACTGGCCCTAAGTCTCACAGCTGCTGATTTCTTGTTTACATGCTACCGAAGTACGAAGAGGTACACAATGTATTCCTTCATTTTGGAAAATAAATGTGAACAGACCACACATCTGAAGTGAAACTTCTTTTCTTAAATAAACTAACATATGGCGGTGCATCAGGCATATTTATATATATATATATATATATTATAAATAAATTGTCGCATGTGACGCTCGTAGTGTTTCAGCCTTCGCCGAGTTACCCTCCAACTTCCAAGGTCATCAGGGAGAGCTGCAGGCATCCCACACATACATATCGTGTGACGCTCGCGACCCATTTCTGTGTGTGTGTGAAAAGTTCCGAATAGAAGTTTCGCTTCAAAAGTTATTCGTCATTCCTATTGACAAAGATGATCATTTGTTTTTTGAGTGTGTATACTGTTGGTCGCAGATGATCTTTACAGCGTCACCGGGTTTGGGGACGACGAGATCCTACCTCAGAGGGGACCTCAAGCCGAGAATTGGCGAGTGCCTCTAGAGGTATTCCAGGCGGATGGCATCTCCCCGGGGGGGGGGGGGGGGTGTCTCCTCTCCGTCTGGAGCCTCTAGACCACTCGAACCTGAGGGGGAAGATGATGATGTGGTAGACAGTCTTAAGCCTTTATCATCATCATCATCAGCCTATTAATGATTCAGATGCAGCCGGGACCAACGGCTTAAAGTGCCTTCCGAAGCACCGAGGAGCTCAAGATAGTAATTTTTTTGGTCACCCATCCAATGACCGACCACTGCGAAAGTTGCTTAACTTCAACGATCGCAGCCGAACGCGCTAACCACCTGCGCCATCGAGCTCCCCGTCTTAAGCCTTACCTGGTGGCTTTTAGTACTATGTCTTGAATCTAAAATAGGTACGGTATACGGATAAAAGTTACTTGTCAATGTGAAAATAATCTCTTTACGATGTATTATTTGCAGATTACCCGTACCTGGATGATTATTTCCTAGATCAATATTATGTCATCGAAGATAACTGAACAAGTGTATTAAAATTTGTGTTTTTTCATAAGAGAGTTTCTGATTTTACATATTATACGAGGAGGAGCTGGCGAACAAAACGGTATAATTGCATAAAATAAAAAAAATGTGTGCGTGTACTAGTGTACACACGTAAGAAGTGAAACTTCTTTATGGCCTTATTTTTCGAAAAATGATCTACATGCAACTTTCCAGAAATTGGTTAAATAAAGTTAAATTAGTTAAAGTTTAAACAAAAGGATTTTATTATCATAGACATGAATACAAATTACTGCCTATGAAACTGTTATGATTACACGGCTCAGTAATCTAAGGCACATGTTCCACCTCCGACGATGAACGATAAGCGAGTAGAAACTAGAAACGAATTGGCAGTCCTGAGTTAAAATGCACGCGCACGGCTTTTGACAGCCAAGCCAGCTTAACCGAGCGAGTATAGCTGAGCGAGTATCGCTGAGCGAGTATCGCTGAGCGAGTATCGCTGAGCGAGTATCGCTGAGCGAGTATCGCTGAGCTAGTACCGCTGAGCGAGTATCGCTGAGCGAGAATCGCTGAGCGAGAATCGCTGAGCGAGTATCGCTGGGCGAGTATCGCTGTGCGAGTATCGCTGAGCGAGTATCGCTGAGCGAGTATCGCTATGCGAGTTTGGCTGAGCGAGTCTTATCTTTAATAACTTTTGTCACTCAGCTACAAACGAGTAGAGAGAGTTCTCGCCGGCGACAGTGTGATCATTCAGCTATCAACTATTAATATAAAAAAAGATGGCGCGTAACGGAAAATGTGACGCGTAAACGAAAAATGTGACGGTAAATTTTTTTTCCAACGCCGATAAAGAAGTTTCACTTCAAAAAATTTACAGGAGTTATAAATAACTCAGGACACACTAGATTGCTTCTGCTTCCAATTATATCAACGCAATCGAATGTTTTAGAAGGTTTGCTATATATTTTCACGGATGCCAAATTCACTCTGTACATTTAATTGCACGGCCGGCGCCGGTGTAGCGTGTCCATTGTAGCTTAGTCACAGTAGCGACGTGCTACGCCACACAATAAAAAGTAACGCCGCTAGTAGAAGCGTATTTTCACGGATGCCAAATTAACTCTGTACATCTAATTGCACGCCCGCGCGCCGGTGTAGCGTGTCCATCGTAGCTTAGTCACAGTAGCGACGTGCTACGCCGCACAATAAAAATTAACGCCGCTAGCAAAAGCGTATTTTCACGGATGCCAAATTCACTCTGTACGTTTCATTGCACGGCCGGCGCCGGTGTAGCATATCCATCGTAGCTTAGTCACAGTAGCGACGTGCTACGCCGCACAATAAAAAGTAACGCCGCCAGCAGAAGCGTATTTTCACGGATGCCAAATTCACTCTGTACATTTAATTGCACGGCCGGCGCCGGTGTAGCGTGTCCATTGTAGCTTAGTCACAGTAGCGACGTGCTACGCTGCTCAATAAAAACTAACGCTGCCAGCAGAAGTGAAAGTTTTTAAATATCTCTCAAAAAGTGAAAAACTGCACACCACGTTCCGTCTCTGTATAAACTGGCCCTAAGTCTCACAGCTGCTGATTTCTTGTTTACATGCTACCGAAGTACGAAGAGGTACACAATGTATTCCTTCATTTTGGAAAATAAATGTGAACAGACCACACATCTGAAGTGAAACTTCTTTTCTTAAATAAACTAACATATGGCGGTGCATCAGGCATATTTATATATATATATATATATTATAAATAAATTGTCGCATGTGACGCTCGTAGTGTTTCAGCCTTCGCCGAGTTACCCTCCAACTTCCAAGGTCATCAGGGAGAGCTGCAGGCATCCCACACATACATATCGTGTGACGCTCGCGACCCATTTCTGTGTGTGTGTGAAAAGTTCCGAATAGAAGTTTCGCTTCAAAAGTTATTCGTCATTCCTATTGACAAAGATGATCATTTGTTTTTTTAATGGGTATACTGTTGGTCGCAGATGATCTTTACAGCGTCACCGGGTTTGGGGACGACGAGATCCTACCTCAGAGGGGACCTCAAGCCGAGAATTGGCGAGTGCCTCTAGAGGTATTCCAGGCGGATGGCATCTCCCCGGGGGGGGGGGGGGTGTCTCCTCTCCGTCTGGAGCCTCTAGACCACTCGAACCTGAGGGGGAAGATGATGATGTGGTAGACAGTCTTAAGCCTTTATCATCATCATCATCAGCCTATTAATGATTCAGATGCAGCCGGGACCAACGGCTTAAAGTGCCTTCCGAAGCACCGAGGAGCTCAAGATAGTAATTTTTTTGGTCACCCATCCAATGACCGACCACTGCGAAAGTTGCTTAACTTCAACGATCGCAGCCGAACGCGCTAACCACCTGCGCCATCGAGCTCCCCGTCTTAAGCCTTACCTGGTGGCTTTTAGTACTATGTCTTGAATCTAAAATAGGTACGGTATACGGATAAAAGTTACTTGTCAATGTGAAAATAATCTCTTTACGATGTATTATTTGCAGATTACCCGTACCTGGATGATTATTTCCTAGATCAATATTATGTCATCGAAGATAACTGAACAAGTGTATTAAAATTTGTGTTTTTTCATAAGAGAGTTTCTGATTTTACATATTATACGAGGAGGAGCTGGCGAACAAAACGGTATAATTGCATAAAATAAAAAAAATGTGTGCGTGTACTAGTGTACACACGTAAGAAGTGAAACTTCTTTATGGCCTTATTTTTCGAAAAATGATCTACATGCAACTTTCCAGAAATTGGTTAAATAAAGTTAAATTAGTTAAAGTTTAAACAAAAGGATTTTATTATCATAGACATGAATACAAATTACTGCCTATGAAACTGTTATGATTACACGGCTCAGTAATCTAAGGCACATGTTCCACCTCCGACGATGAACGATAAGCGAGTAGAAACTAGAAACGAATTGGCAGTCCTGAGTTAAAATGCACGCGCACGGCTTTTGACAGCCAAGCCAGCTTAACCGAGCGAGTATAGCTGAGCGAGTATCGCTGAGCGAGTATCGCTGAGCGAGTATCGCTGAGCGAGTATCGCTGAGCGAGTATCGCTGAGCTAGTACCGCTGAGCGAGTATCGCTGAGCGAGAATCGCTGAGCGAGAATCGCTGAGCGAGTATCGCTGGGCGAGTATCGCTGTGCGAGTATCGCTGAGCGAGTATCGCTGAGCGAGTATCGCTGAGCGAGTATCGCTGAGCGAGTATCGCTATGCGAGTTTGGCTGAGCGAGTCTTATCTTTAATAACTTTTGTCACTCAGCTACAAACGAGTAGAGAGAGTTCTCGCCGGCGACAGTGTGATCATTCAGCTATCAACTATTAATATAAAAAAAGATGGCGCGTAACGGAAAATGTGACGCGTAAACGAAAAATGTGACGGTAAATTTTTTTTCCAACGCCGATAAAGAAGTTTCACTTCAAAAAATTTACAGGAGTTATAAATAACTGAATAAGTGTGCCACCGACCACAACTACAAAACGCCGCCACCAGCATATTTCTTGTAGTTTTCATACATTTTATATGGACTCGCCACACACGGTACGCCGGTGGCCGCCACACGCTACAAATCGTCGTTGCTCGCTTCCTGTGGCCCGCACCGGCCATTTAATGCGCCGATACAAAACGCCGCCACACGTCACTCACGCGATTCCCCACCCCTCTCTCCCTTACCTTAGTCGGCCGCTGTCGCGCGCTTCAGCCACTTTAGGAGCCACTTCTAGCTTCTCGTGGCGGCGTTTGTGGCTGTGGCGTGTGGCCCGTGTGCGACGGCACTAACATACCTACAGTGAACTTTTAACAATGTTATTAGTAATTTTAACAATGTTTTAGGCGCTTTTGATTGATAACGAGTTGATATTCAAATTAAACCTGTGTCGGCCTGTAAATAAAAAGTATTTTGAACAGATGCGTATTTACTCGTATACCGTTTTGTTCGCCAGCTCCTCACTGTCATATTTTTTTGGAACGTAGTTCCTTATCGCGCGTTGTGAAAGGGGGCTAGACGGAAAACATTCTTACGAAAAGTTGTCACGACACTTTGCTATAGTAAGCTATTGTAAGCTTATATAGCTTATAAACTGTGGTTAAGTCCAGGGAGGTGGCAGAGCGACGGGGCTGCATTACTGGATTATTGTGACATTGTAGTTTATTATAAACTGTGGGCCAGTCCTGCCTAGCTATCTTTACGAACACTAGCTGACCGAACTGAAAAAAATGTGATAGTAAAACCGTAAGAAAAAATCCGTGGAAAAAAGTGCGTGGAATAAAACCGTTAAATGCGCATTAGCCGAAGGAACTTCGTTCCTACCTGGTGTCCCACGACATCACATATTTTTTTTTATTTTCTTCTAAAACCTTTCTTTCTTTTATATTGCTCAGGAATTATGTAACTCGCATAGTAGGGTGGGCCAGCCTCATAAATAGAAAATTTAAAATTCTAATAAAGTTATGATTTGAGGGGCTCATTGGCCTACAAGTTTCTAATAAAATGTTTACGATTAGTGAAACACGCAATTTTAGATTTAATAATATTTCGACTGTTTTTTCCAATTTTAATTACAACTAGCAAACCAGTGAACCAAATGTTCACCAAAACCTGATTTAAAAAAAAATGTATTTAATTAATTGAGAACTTCGGAGATTTTGTGTGGTTTCGTTTGAAATTCGTGATTTCTCGAAAAACGGAAGTGCTACGTTACTCAAATCCGGTTTGTAGTCTTATCTGACTATTCTTAACTTATAACTTAAATATTCTCTTTATCTATCTCTTACGGTTTGGCCGCTGAAACAGCACCACAGACAGACGGACGGACGGACTTGTCTAATAGATAAGAGATAATAAGTAACTAGTCTCATCTAATAAGGGGGTTTAAGTTCGGCACCTTAAAAATATAGATAACATAGATTTATTGGTTCCTTAGGTTTTCACGCACATACTCACACTCATTAAATATAACAAGTTTTTTAACGGGTTAATGCATGAAACTTTATTTATTTATTGACGTTTCGTAGCCTTTTGAGGTCTGCTCCGTCAGAATAATGATTTTTAATATTTTATTGTCTATGTATGAATTTATTAG